TTGATCTAGTCCATTATTTGCACGATGCCAGAAGAATTGTCAACATTGACTCTTCCAGCTCCATTTGCAATGGACTCCGCAAAGGACCTTTTTTATACTAAAAATAAATTATAATCTACACATCTTTCGTAAATATCCGATATGGGACGAACATTAATTAAAATTGGACAATTTTGCAACTTGACTAATTTTGATCACCACTTTTTAGCGTGAAATTTGTACATAGAAAGAAGCATCTCCTTGTAATTTTGAAGTATGCTATTATGCACTTAAATTGAAATGAAGAGCATGTCTTGCAATCAACCCGAACATTACAATAATAGCTGTCGAGTAAATCAAAAGCCCTAATTAGTCCTATATTAGTATCAAAACCGAATGAGGCATGATTCAGTACTGTTTCCAGTCACATTTGTGATTATTTAGTTCTCATGATTGGTCCTAAATTAATTACTGAATTAAATTTCTTGTTACACTTTTGTATTCACTTCACATTTGATTCATTGGATGAATGACACGTGCAAATAACAAGTCATATTTGTACACATGTCGAACAAAATGAAACACGACGAGATTGAAAAATTATGTTATTGAATCTATTTCTAGAACTAACATTCCTATTTTTTTTTTATATAAAAAAATAAATAAATAATAGGTACATTCTCTCGTCTAAGATACAAAATGAGCCGGACGACTACATATTCGTGTACTACCGAGGCAGAAACGACGCGTGGGATGGGTATGGCGGGGCCGTGGTCTACACACGGGCCAGAGTCTTGCCAGAGACGATCGTGCCCCAACTGGAAGAGGCGGCCCGCAACGTGGGCCGTGATTTCAAGAAATTCATAAGGACAAACAACACGTGCGGGCCCGAGCCCCCGCTCGCGGAGCGACTGGAGAAGACTGTGGAGGAAGGAGAGGAGATAATCGCCAAGGAAGTGAAGGAGATCGAGCAGGAAGTGGAGCGAGTCAAGGACACAGAAGTCACTCTGTTCCAGAGGTTGTCCGAAGGGTTTCAGGAGCTTATTAAGGATAAAGACTATTTCCTAAAGGAGCTGAGCGAAGAGGAGATGGATATCCTGAGCGAGCTGAAAATGGAGGCCACTGAGGTGGAGAAACTTTTTGGAAAGGCGATACCATTGAGGAAGTTGAGGTGATTATAATGGAAATATTAATTAAGTGTACAGGACATGAATACATAGAGTAATAGAGCTTATTCTTTTACAATGGAGGATCCTAAGGGGTTAGGAATTTTCTTTTTGGTGTGTTGCCTGCAGTTTTAGCATATGCCTTTAGTTTTCAAGAGTTCTATGGAAGACCATGGCTTGCATTTCTTTCCACACTTGCAAATTTCTTTTTCCTTCTCTAATGAGTCAATATCATTGTTCGACAACAATAAAATTATATTTATCATATTTATAATAATTTTGTTATGAATAATACATACATATATATATATATATATATATATAGAGAGAGAGAGAGAGAGAGAGAGAGA